ATTCCTTGTGGACGACCAGAATCATCCTGAGAGAGGTACTATATATTCAATGCTAGAAGGTTTAGTATCTCATATATCATTACATTGAGAACCTGATGATATGGTTATTCAAAGCCTGAATTATTGATTTACTCCTTTATTGAAAGAATGGCTTCAATGATTATGGATAATTACTCCTTTATTCAAATTGCTGGAGATGGTGTTTGTGCCTTTGTGATCACCAATGGTTATGGATAATTAGGCCTTTCTGCGTGACTGGAAGGCTGAAAACTAGCAATGACCTTGAATGCACACAGCTGATAATATTGGTTGCTTCCTACATTCCTGGATGTAAGTTCTGCATCTCCCAAAGTGGATTAGATAAATAGTTCATTAAATGAAGATTGATCGAGATACAAGTTACTGTTGGAGATGGGATAATAAGCCAGAACACCAGTGCATTATTAGTTAAATTATCCTAGTTCCAAACTCAAAGTAATTGAGCCTTTTAACTGACTTTGTTAAACTATTCACACCTTTTAAAGTAATGCTTGTCATATGGTTCGTTGAATGTCTAGTGGAAACATTCTGTTTTATTTATTCATGAGATATTTATTTTTTCTAATATAGTGTGCTCTAACTCAGGGATTCCATGATGAAAGCAAAGAACACAAGGGGAGGGGCTGGTGCAAGCGGTAGAGTCTCTTACTTTGTGACCGGAAGGTCCGGGTTCGAAGTCATGATCTCTCCTCGCATTTGCTGAGGCGAGGTAAGGCTTGCCACTAACACCCTTCCCCAGATCCCGCACAGAACGGGAGCTCTCTGCACTGGGTATGCCCCTTTTTTTTGAAACATCAAAGGAAAAGGTCTGTCTAGCTTTATATTTGCCTGAATGTTTTTGCCCTCCTTGATGGTTACTATTTATTACTGCAGAGTACCTTCGGCCTAATTCAGGTTCAACACATTTGCTTACATATATTTGGGAAGGGGACAATATGTGTGTTTAGGTCCACAATTTTGGTTTAGGTGAATGTTGATCTAAAATAGTCAGTACTCATATTCCAGAATTTTCTGATTGCCTGTAAATTGTACTGCAATTCTAAATTAACAACTCACAAGGTTGTTTCGATTCCATTACCAGTTATGCAATAACTGCTACTAAATTTTGATCATTTAAGCTCCCAGCAATGTGGTTAAGCTGTACTAAGTTGCATATTTTCATGATTGGGACCTTTTGATTGCCATGGAGGAACAACTTGAGTGACAGCTGAATGGTCAAGTCCCAGTAAACTGCAAAAAGTTGAAGTTAACTGATACATATGGCTGCTATGGATTAAAAAGATCTTTGGGGCCTCTAGAATTATTAGAAGGCACAATCATCAACACAAGAGATGACGTTTAGCGAAGTTATGCTGTTCCTGAAGTTCTCAAAGCATGAGCGAGTCAGCCATCAGCACTTAACATATGAGAGGACAGCTTTTAGGGTCTGTTTGGTAGAGCTCCACTTCTTAATTCTTAGCTCTAGCTCCTTGATTCTTTGATGGAGTGATTCTAGTTAATTCCTATGAGGGAGCAGGGTGGGGAGTAGATGAGAATTGATTGTGGTGGGTTTTGAATAGGGAGCAGCGATGAGCAGTTTTTTTTTAGCTCCTAGCTTTTAACATAAATAGAGAAATGATTCTTGTCTACTCTCCACCCTAGGAGCAGAATTTGCTCCATGGAGCCTTGCCAAACGGCCCCCTTAGGATTACATCCTGGAGATAAATTTGGTTTCATCATTGGAGCCTATGAAATTTGAGAAGAGTGTGGCATATGTACAACTTCAATCCTTGAGATCTAAGTCAATCGTACAACTGAATGCAACCCTCTACATTGCTGATGATGTGCCTATTGATTCTTGTATGGCTTGAAGTTAAGTTTTGCTGTAATCCAAAATATGTTACGAAATACTACTGCTGTTCTAATCCATACAATATTGTTAGCCATATTGAGATGTAAGTCAATTCTACAATTGAATCCAATCCTTGATAACTGAGCTAGTTCTTGAGTGGCTAGCGTTGCCGGTGTACACGCTGCCGGCACGATTTCGATCCTAGGAATCGCACTCGCGTCACCGGGACTTGTTCCCAATAGTTTTTTGCCTCTTTCACGTGGAGACACAGAGAGATTGTTGTGACGCAGCCGTCGCCTATAGAGCCATGATGGTCTCAGTGATCTTTAGAAGGACACGATCTTTTGATCTGTGTGAAGTTGTAGTTGTAGGTCTAGGTGTGCATGTGTGGTGTGTGTAGGTAGCATGGACGTGCGTTTGTGCATGAACAAGATACAACAGCTGTACCTAGATAAGAGACTTTCAAAAATCCAATGCTTGATTTTGTCATGTGGCTTAGCTTTAAGTTTCATTGTAACGCCATCTATGTTAGGAACTTTTCCTGTACTACTAAACTTTACAGTTAACACCCTGTAGGATTTTTTAAATGCATTTATTTACTAATATGAAAGATATTTACCTACTGCTCAAAGGATTTATGTTCATGTGTTTTTTCATTCCTATGTTCCAAAGAGTCCGCAGCTATAAATTCTTCATGTTCTATGTAAAGTTCTTTCTATAGCATATGTGTTCCCGCAGCAACGCGGTGGGTATTCACCTAGTTTTGTTGGAGAGTGGTCTCCTATTCACTGTTCTCAAGAACCAATTTATCGCGTTTTGAAAACATACATCTAGGAGTTTACTCCCTTCGTCAAAAAAAAAAAAAAATTGAAATCTCCTTTCCCAAGGTCAAATAATTTCTGAGTTAAACTAAGTTTTATAACAAATAGTATCAACATTTGTATATCTCTAAATATATTAATTATAAAAATATGACATGATTAATCTAGTAATACTTATTACGCATTATAAATATTAATAGTTTTTTATATATTTGCTCAAGTTTGGAATTGTTTGAAACTTTGGCAAGTGAGATTTTCGTTTTTGCTTTTTTGAATGGAGGGAGCAGCTAAAGATTTGCACCCTGTTCGGCTGATCCAGTTTCAGCTGATTTCGACTGATTCAATAGTGTTCTGTGAGAGAGAATAAGATGAAACGAGCAGAAAGTTACAAAAATAAAAATATCACTAGAAAAAACCCGCGGCGTTGCCGCAGCACAGGACATGGACCAGTTCATTTAGATGTAGCACAAATATATAGTTGAGAACTGAACAAAGAAAAAGATGTTTATGATCTGAATCTTCCGAAGAGCACCGGCAGCCTGATGAATACTAAAAAAATGTCGTGCTGTGCTTGGATAGGTCATAGGCCCTTGATAGAAATCACAAGTTACCTGGTTAACAAAATAATAACAATATCTGAGAAGTGGATCTGAATCTCCATGATGAAAATAGTAATATGACATACTAATACGGCCCACATATCATGAAAATTAATCTCATAAGTGTAACTTAAACCTTAGCCCCCTTACTATCAAACTGAGTCCAAATTTGTATGTATAGCAGATTTCTTTAGAAACGCAGCAATAACCAAAAGACGATCCCAGCAGCGGCAGACATGCCTTCTGAAATCCTGGACAGGAAGATCAGAGCAGTGGGCAAAGACACCAATCCGTCCTTGCAGTGTCCTTCACTAATGAGAAATGACCTAAGAGAGCAGGAAATCAAAACAAAAACTAATCAGTAGGTACATATAGGTAAAAATCATAGATCCACTCACAAACTCACTATGTAGTGACCCGTTTGCAGCCTCTCAGTCATGTGGAGTACGATCATTCAGAGTAGGCATACTCTTGAATGGAGATGGATTGATGGAGGCACAGATCACGCACCAGATAAGAGATGGCTTTGGTGGAGAGGTTGTGGAGCCGGACAATGGAGGCAGCGGGAGGTGTAGAGGAGCGGAAGTAGAAGTGGTCCAGTGCGGTGCAGTCAGGCTTCTACTGTGTGCTACTCGCCAGCACAGGCGCGCCTCGCTCCTGACCTCACCGTAGCTCTCCGCCGCCATGGCACCGCTCCTCATCCTCAGGCATGGATCTGGTGGTGCTCGTCGTGGATCTAACAGCCGTCGCCGAGATCCACGCGGAGGACCTCCCTCTACATGGCACACCAAACTTGAGGGAAGGAGAAGGGAAAGAAGCTAAGTCTAATAAGGTACAGAAGAAGCTTCCCGGTCGTACCCTCGGTTCATATCGGCGCCTCCGGTTTGCTGCTCCGAGCACGCGAGCACCGCCGCGTCAACCGCCATGTCTCCATGGCCACACGCCCTCGCCGTCGCTTCCGCAGATCTGGGCGCACTCCTCCGTGTACGGGACCTGCGCTCCTCCGCGCTTTCTCTTTCCCTGCGCTCCAGCAACGGCGTCGAGATGGTAGGGACCTCGCGCTCCAGCGACGGTGGCGAGCAGGGAGGCGCGCGCAGCGAGCACTGCGGTGCGGCGGCAGCCGGGAAAGAGAAAGAGGAGAGAGATGAGACGGGGAATTGCGCTAGGCTCGGAGACTTGGGGTACACCTCTGCGGGAGGGCTTTTTTGCAAAAAAACCTGAGAGGAGGCCTGGACTGAGGTTGATTCGACTAAAGTTCGAGGGTTTTTTTCAAAAATTACCGCGGATCGCCCGATTTGGGCCCGGCCGGCGATGTGGCACGCTGGCTGGCCGCGGTTTGGACGCAGGTTTCATATATAAAGATAAAGATATGTGAGCTAGCTTGATGGGCCTTTGGGTGCACGCAGGTTCGCATAGGAATAACAGTCTCTCGAAGCATCCACGGCCTTCGAAACCTCTCCCGCCTCTCGACTCGTCTCCGGAAGCATCCACCAAACACCTGCCCCCCAGGTCGCGCAATCCACTCCCACAAGAAGTCTCCAGAACCGCATGCGCCCCTTTAAAATGGTGATCTCGATCGACCGCGCTCGAGTTGCGAGCGATTCCCAGAGCAAAAAAGAACTAACAATCACATCAGCAGGGGCACGCACAGGCGCGCTGATCTGCAGCATTCTTGGGCTGATTGGTTGATCTCTGACGGCGGGCGAACCGATGGCGGAGGACGCGTTCGACCTCCCCAGCGCCGGCGAGGAGGAGGAGGAGGAGGTGATGGGAGGCCTGGAGGAGGACGAGGCCATGAAGGACCTCGACGCCGGGGTGGACGCCGATGAGGACTATTTCCCGCTGACGATGAAGGCTGGGGAGGAGAAGGAGATCGGGAAGGAGGGGCTCAAGAAGAAGCTCGTCAAGGAGGGCGAGGGTGGGATCGCCTTGAGACAGGCGACGAGGTCGAAGGTACGTACGTGTTTGCGGATTTGCGCGCGAGCCTGCCTCTTCTTCTGTTAGTTTGTTCAGTCGCCGGACGTACAGGTTGCTTGCTCTCGGGGGGATTGGCCGACGCAAGAACAGAGTAGGAAAATGGAATCAGTACAGTAGCCGTGATAATCTAATACTCCTAAATCTAACTAACTATTTAATTTAAATTTGATAATCATTTAAAGCGCATCAATTCTGGTGGTTTTCAGAACCGAGTTACCCAAATGATGACAAAGAGCGATTGTTTCAAGTGACATGTTTGATCAGTTCAGTCTATACAGAAGTAATAATTTTTGAATCTGTTCGCTGCAGTGCATTACACTGGCACTCTTTTGGACGGAACAAAGTTCGATTCGAGCCGTGACCGTGGAACCCCGTTCAAATTCAAACTTGGACAAGGTGCGTGGAAGCAGCTTCAACGAGTATGATATGATATGATGACATCGGTCATCAGTTCTGTGGTAATTTGTTGGGATGCATGTTATTTTACTGCAGGGCAAGTGATTAAGGGATGGGACCTGGGCATCAAGACCATGAAGAAGGGTGAGAACGCAATCTTTACTATTCCGCCGGGGCTCGCCTACGGCGAGACGGGTTCGCCGCCCACCATCCCGCCCAATGCCACACTCCAGTTTGACGTTGAGCTCCTGTCATGGGCCAGCGTCAAGGATATATCAAGGACGGTGGAATCTTTAAGAAGATCCTCGTTGAAGGCGAGAAGTGGGAGAACCCCAAGGACCTTGACGAAGTTTTTGGTATGATGTTATTTGATATACTGTGGTGCCTTAGTGCTGATAGTTTGAGATGTGGGTTTTGACACTTCTTGCTCAATTGATTCCTGCAGTCAAGTACGAGGCAAGACTCGAGGATGGAACTGTTGTGTCCAAGTCTGATGGTGTTGAGTTTGCCGTCAAAGATGGTTTGTATCTTGGAACTTCGACCTTCCTTAATGTATGATTGTGCTATCAGCTCTGAATCCTTCATTCTGTAACTAACAAAATTGACACTGCAGGTTACTTCTGCCTGGCGCTTTCCAAGGCTGTGAAGACCATGAAGAAGGGCGAAAAGGTTCTCCTCACTGTCAAGCCACAATGTAAGTCTTCAAGAAATTGTAATTGGGCCTGTTTTTGTTTCATTTTGGAATTGGCACAAAACCCTCGTTGACATAGTTAACTAATAAATATGTGTCCATTACGATGATCAGATGGCTTCGGGGAACAAGGAAAACCAGCTTCTGGAGATGAAGGAGCAGTGCCCCCCAATGCGATAATGCATATAGACCTTGAGCTGGTCTCTTGGAAGACTGTGACGCTTATTGGAGACCGCAAGAGGATCTTGAAGAAGGTTCTTAAGGAAGGCGAAGGTTACGAGCGCCCTAATGATGGAGCAGTAGTGAGAGGTGGGTAGTACTACATGCTACTAAGTAATTCATGCATTCCTGGTCACCCTTCCATTTGATTTTGGGTGCAGTGTTCTAACTTGTTAGCCTGGCTTATCAACCATGGAACAGTGTTTTCTTCTCACGACAAATCAGCTTCAGCCGGTTTATTAACCGCAGAAACCATCAGTCGAACAGCTTCTAACATATATTCTTGTCCTTATACAGTGAGACTTATTGGCAAATTGGAGGATGGTACTGTCTTTGTAAAGAAAGGGCATGATGGTGAAGAGCCTTTTGAGTTCAAGACCGATGAGGAGCAGGTTATTGAAGGGCTTGACATAACGGTGGTTAATATGAAGAAAGGAGAGGTTGCGTTGGTCAGAGTACCACCTGAACATGCATTTGGATCTGTTGAAACAAAGCTAGATCTTGCTATTGTTCCACCTAATTCTACTGTCTTTTATGAAGTGGAGCTTGTTTCCTTTGAGAAGGTAAGGCTGAAATTGCTTTTATTCGTCTGTTTATCATGGTTGCTGCTGCTGACCATATTGTAATGATAATTTATGCCTTTTCTTTCTTTAGGAGAAAGAATCTTGGGACTTGAAGACCAATACTGAGAAGATTGAAGCAGCTGCAAAGAAGAAAGATGAAGGGAATGTGTGGTTTAAGATGGGCAAGTACGCCAAGGCTTCTAAGAGATACGAGAAGGTAAAATGGCAGCGTAGGCTCCACAAAATCCCTGTTAATTTTATCAGAAAGACCATTGCTAATTCTATTTTCCCTTCAATCAGGCTGCAAAGTACATTGAGTATGACAACTCTTTCAGTGAGGATGAGAAGAAGCAATCTAAAGCTCTGAAAGTCAGTTGCAAGCTCAACAACGCAGCCTGCAAGCTGAAACTGAAAGAATACAGAGAAGCAGAGAAACTCTGCACAAAGGTACTGTAGGCTCGCCCTTTGCCATCATATGTTGTAAAAAGCATCGATACTGACTATGAGCTCTGGCATTCAGGTTCTGGAACTCGAGAGCACAAATGTTAAGGCCTTGTACAGAAGGGCGCAAGCATACATCGAGCTTGTTGACCTAGAGCTGGCAGAGTTGGATGTGAAGAAAGCTCTTGAAATCGATCCTGACAACAGGTACGATTTGTGTCTACTGAACTTCGGCCAAGTTCTTTTTTGAAACATAACTTCATCCAAGTTCTTCGATGCTTAGTCTAGCAAGGATCACTGGATCATCGGCTCAGCATTGTGAAATTAACGCCTGACTGTTTTCCCAATCAGGGATGTTAAGCTGGTGTACAAGACCCTGAAGGAGAGAATGAGAGAGTACAACAGACGGGACGCCAAGTTCTACGGCAGCATGTTTGCGAAATGGAGGAAGCTTGAACAGCTGCAGAAGGTGCCCGGGAAGCAGGAGCCGCAACCGATGGCCATCGACAGTGCTGCATAAGAGCTTTGCGCTCGTTTGCCATGCTTTATTGCTTACTGCGGGATCAAAGGAGAATCTCCTTAGCCATGTTTGTCGTTCGTCACTGTTGTCTTATTTTCCTCTTGGCTGCTGCTACCCATATGTATTCAGCTGCATGCGTGAAATATTTGGTCGTCCGCTGCTGCGATTTTATCGCGGTGTGAGTGGTGATAAGAGACTCTATGGGTCTATCTTTAGTGGCACACATCAGATGATGTCGTCACGCCCCTGTCCATTTCTATGTCCCAAAATCTATGCAGGCATGCAGCTATGCTGATGGTGCTGAGTCCGAAATGTCAGGATATGTGGTTAAGAAGTTGTACAACGGGCTGGATCTATTTGTACCCTTCGTACTAAAACTAATCTAAAATTTGATAAAAAAAATTCTCATCTAATGTTTTATTAATAAACTTATTTGAAATATATAAATGTTAATACTTTGACCTTTTGAAATACGAGATGCGTACTTAGGATATGTGGTTAAAAAGTTGCACAACCGGCTAGATCCAATTTGTGCTCCCTTTGTACTAAATAATCTAAAATTTGATTAAAAAAACCTCACATCGCATGTTTATGTAGTAAACTTATTTGAAATATAAATGTTAATACTGACTTTTTAAAATACAGATGTGTAATTATTTTAGATAGTATATAGTAAAAGAAAGAAAAGTCCTATTTGACCTCCAAAAAGTTTTGGTTTTAAAATACAATTCTTGAACTTTTCAAGATTTGCTCCTGAGTGATTTTGCCGATCCTCAACTTTTCAAGTTACGACTCCAGTGGTTTTGCATACCGGTTTCAGTTGACTCAGTCCACGTGGACATGATGATTTGGCCTAGCTGCTGACTAGAACTAGAACTCAAAAACCTCCCATTTTGCCACGGCCTAACATGTCTCTTATGCCGCCAACCGTCCTCTTTGCTCACTGCCACCTTGTCCTCTCTGCTCACTACCACCTTGCCGTTGTCTTCCTCTCATCTCCGAGAAGCTGCTTGGGTTTGAACTCGGCGCTTTGATATTGTCCTCCAACTCATCCCCTAAGTTCGGCTTCATGGAGAGGCACGAGTGAGAGGAAGTCGTCCAGTGAAATTTGTGACGGCCGCTAAAATTTGTGATGGCTTTTATAAAACCGATTGGAATAAAGAGAACTCCCGTCGGTCTTGAAAAACCGACAGGAAACACCAGTAGAATTCCTGTCGATTTTATAAAACCCTCAGGAATTAGATGTAACCGTCAGGAAAGCGTTTTTGATCCTGACGGTTAAACGAAACCAATAGGGATCCCTTTCCGTCAATTTGGCGAGATCGACCGCGTCAAAAAGCGAAAATCAGCTGCCCTCTTCTCATACGAAAGCGATGTTTGGCGCCAAGAAATCCAACGCTGTTTTGTGGGTCCACCTAAAGGTTCCAATAGCATATAAAAGAAAACCCTAAAACCCTAAGGTCAAATCCCCCCTTCCCTTCGGCCGCTGCCGCTCACCTGGGCGACCCACGTCCCATGAGATCCGTGACGTCGTTCCTTCCCCTGAGCCCGCACTTCGCACTTCGCTCGTGGCCTTGACTCCCTCCGCACGTTCCCTCCCGACATCCAACAACGCTGCCCTGCCTACCCTGACCGACCTCGCCGTTCTTCTTTGCCTGCGCAACAACACCCCCTCGCCTGGAATGGGACGCCGCCATCCCCTCCGCCTGCAACGGTACACCGCCCACCCTCTCCTCTTGCCCGCGACGCCGCTGCCCCCTCCTTGTGAACTTTGCTTCGTTTACTATTTGAAGAGTATCTGCTACCAATTTGAAGAGGCACTTGACAACCCGGAGGCCACAAGAATGGATCTGCTGCTTGATTTGAAGAGGAGCAGGAGGTTTGCTTGCCACAAGAGGGAGGTGAAGATCCTGCCATAAGCGGTGTGTAAGGGAAAAACAAGAAAGGCAAAGGAAGGAGTTTGCTCAAACCCTAAGAGGTGATTAATTCATCCCCTTCTTCTTGGTAGTGTAGCATTCATGTTCATTGTGAAATATATGTTTCTATACCCTAGCATATATGGTTAAGAAACTCTAGCTATATGTCTGTGCACAATATATGTTCACTGGTATAGGAATGAATGTGATTTGGAATATTATCAGTTGTTAGTAGTAAATGACACAACAACAATTAGGGTTAGAAAAATTGTTAATTTATATATGGAGCCAGATGTGTGTGTGAGCACTTAGGCTTAGAAAAATTGGCACAGTTAGTCAATAAAAATATGATATGTAAATTAGAACTTAGCCTTACTAGAAGCATGCAGATGCAAATATATTTTGTGGCCTGTATGAAACTATATTTATATATATGCATTAGGAAATAGTTGTATTGGATCACTAATTACTGCACTTTGTGAATCTAACAGCAAGATTAAAATATGGATCAACATGATTGGATGTATAGTGGTTGGAAGCGTGGTAGGCCAACATGTGATTGGGTTGAGCATACAAACCAATTCTTGGATTTTGCATTCTCTAATCAGACTGTAGTACAAGAGGGTACCATAAAGTGCCCTTGTGCTGCGTGTCATAATTATTTTCGGCACAAAAGGGGCAAGGTAGAGCTGCATCTATTGCAAAATGGGTTTAAATCCAACTACAAAACTTAGACTCCACATGGTGAGAGGAGCTGCCAACAGCCAGGAATTGAGGGTTTCGGTGATACAGATAGGATGGATGATTTGTTGGCAGACTTAGCTTGCATTTGCACCATCATTTGGGTGATGAGGAGCCAATGAGAATATACTCAAGCTTGGTATAGGATGATTGATAGTGCAGAACAATTAGTTCATGATCAAACAACCCACTCTACTTTATCAGGCACAGCTAGGTTGCTATCCATGAAGTCACAATACAACCTTTCTATTGCGTGTTATGATGACATCGTGGCACTCATCCATGAACTCCTACCAGCTGATAGTAACTTGTCTAAGGACTTCTACCATTCCAAAAAATTGTTGAAGGGTCTTGGTATGCCTTATGAATAAATTCATGTATGTTACAACAATTACATGCTTTATTATAAAGATAACAAGCATAAAGAAAAATGTGATATTTGTGATACCCCTCGCTATGTTGATGGCTCAAATAAGGTCCCACGCAAAGTCTTGCGCTACATGCCAATAACTCTACGCAGATGAGCCAACAGCGAAAATGATGCGATGGCACAAAGAAGCTCCTCGCTCCATGTCGGGTAGAATGGATCACCCACGTGATGGTGAAGCTTGGCAACAATTTGATGTTGATTGGCCGGAGTTTGAACAAGAGCCAAGGAACGTGCGACTAGGCTTTGCAACTGATGGCTTCACACCATATGGCCCCATGGCTGCTTCGTACTCTTGCTGGCCGGTGTTTGTGTTTCCAAAGAATCTTCCACCCAGTGTCGCCATGAGGCTAGAATACATCTTTCGAGCTCTTGTTATCCCTGGTCCAGAACATCCTGGAAAAAAAATTAGTGTCCTAATGCAGCCTTGAGTAGATGATAGGACTAGATGCCCTACCGGAGTTGCTGCGAAGGTTGTAGGGATGGAAGAGCGGCGGACGAGGCTTAGGGCAGCGGCGGCGGGTTGGCGCCGTGGTGATCACGGCGCAAGGAAGTGGACAAGGTGCGTCTAGGGCTCCCAAGGGAAGCCGACAACAATTAGGTTGCTTCTGCTTAATTCCAATCTCAATTTTTTACAGAGTCTTTATCCTCTCTAGGATCCTATAATTAAGAAATAAATACCATAAATAGCTAATAATACTAATATGGGCTGTTAGCCCCTAAAGCCAGCGTCCTCCTCTAGCCACTAATGGGCCTGCGCCTATTATAGTAGATGCCGGTCATAACATCTCTCCCCGCCTGCGCAAACAGCTCGTCCTCGAGTTGAAAGTCGGGGTAGAGGCCTTTGAAGTCGTCGAGGAGCTCCCAGGTGGCTTTGTCGCTGGGCAGTCCACGCCATTGGATGAGGACGTGCCACGCGCCCCGCCAGAGTTGAGCTCGTAGGGCGCGCTCAGGAGCAGGAAGGAGCTGACCATCCAGCAGCGGCGGTAGCGCAGCAAGCGCTGTCGAAGGATCCCCCTTGTGTGGCTTGAGCAAGCCCACATGGAAGACATCATGCACTCGAGCGCCGGCCAAAAGCTGCAGCCGGTAGGAAACCCTGCCAATGCGCTCTAGCACTTGGAAAGGCCCGGCGTAGCGAGAGCCAAGCTTCCCTTTTGCTAGGGGCTCCAAAGACTGCGTGGTCCGATGAAGCAGGCGCAGCCAAACCCAATCGCCCACAGCGAACTCCAGGTCACGGTGGTCGGCGTCGTAGTACTTCTTAGACAGCTGCTGCGCTTGAAGGAGGCGCTGTTGGACCTCAGCTAGCACCTCATCTCAGCTGTGGAGTAAGGCGTCGGCCGTGTCAGTACGCGCTGACCCCGACTGGTATGGTAGTATCGGCGGGGACGGCCGGCCATAGACCACTTCGAACGGAGTGTCACGCAGGGCGGTTTGAAAGGAGGTGTTGTAGCAATACTCCGCCCAAGGCAACCAGTCCACCCATGCTCTCGGCCGATCACCTATAACACAACGTAAATACATCGCAATCACCTTGTTGACCACCTCCGACTGAGGGTGGAAGGCCGTGCTCATGCGCAAGGTGACGCCTGCCATCTTGAAGAGGTCACGCCACACATGACTGGTGAACACAGGGTCCCTGTCGCTGACGATGGAAGAAGGGAACCCATGAAGTCGAACGATGCCGTCGAAGAAAGCACGGACGATGGAGGCGGTGGTGTAGGGGTGACCAAGTGCGATGAAATGCGCATACTTGGAGAAGCGGTCGACCACCATGAGAATGATAGATTTGCCGCTGACCTTGGGCAGCCCCTCGATGAAGTCCATGGAGATATCCGCCCACACCTGGGATGGTACTTCGAGGGGCTGTAGCAGGGCGGCGGGCTGTAGTGACTCCGTCTTGTTCTGCTGACACGTGT